CAAGGAAAATTAGTAAAAATTTTTTAGTATCAGCGATAAAACTATATTAAAAAAGTCTGAAAGATTTGAACCATAGGGTTCGAATTCATGCTTTATTAAAGATGAAAGGGGGGATTTGATTAAGGCTCAAGTCTTAGGTGAAAGTGGATTGTTTGTTAAGTCTGCCATCACACATCATCTGCTTTATAACGAAAAGGTTAAAATCAGTAGCGAAAACCGTCATCACAAACCTCGAATCTCCCATACTTCTTGTGGTTCAAACCATACTAAGCGGAAGAAACCTTACATTAATTGCATACAAGAACGCGTAAATTCAATATGATAAAGAAATTTACCTTCTGGCCTTATTCCTTCATCAACGTCATAATACCATTTTTTCGTTTCCAATAAATTTCCGTTTTCGTGAGAATATCGTTGTTTCATTTCTTTATAAAATTCATCGCTAAATCCTGACATACATTTACAAAAACTTTCGAGCATTTCAGTCTCTGGATTGTAAATAGCTAAAAGTATCGGACTCCACCAGTTCACCTTTCTGCCGTTGCCATGCCAGGCACCAATTGGCTATATAAGATTAAATTTAATGAAATAATTCCAAGATAAATACATGTATATTTACATATAAGTAATTACCACGACATCAAAACTATCCCCAAGCCCTTCAATATAGTCTTTTTTTAGTTTGAGCCAACTCTCCAATCTTTTGTCTAGAATTAAAGAATCACGAACAAAATCATAATTACGCATTAAAAATATAAATAATAAAAAAAATTTAAGAAAAACTAACCTGGTTCATAGCTGGCCAAAAAGTTCATCCTTGTCTTGACATCTAACGAGCGTGGTGGCTCATCTAATACTTTCACCATTATTCCTTCACATCCTGCCTCAATTGACTCTCTGAAAAATTCGTGAATTTCTTCCTCGCTCGAAGATTCAATATGCCTAACAAGTGCAAATTTGTTTGGCAATTGATTAAAATTAGTTTCTAAGAGATCACGTCGTTCTCGAAGTGATTTCTTAAGTAGAGGCTATCGATTATAAAAATCAATGTAGTGATCAGTAATGTTTTTCACTATGCCCAAAAAATATGATGATAGAATGTATAAGGATACCTGTTCATTCAAATACATTAGATCAAATGCAAAAATACATATAGGAATTGTAATCAACGACAAAGAGACATTCTTACGAGGTCGATTTGATAATTTTTGAAAATTTTCAATTTTTTCATTTTCTCCGATTGCCACAACTTCGGCATCTAATATGAAGGAGGTTATTGAATCTTTTCGTATTTTTGATATTATATCTACTATGTCTGGGTATTTTTCAGTTATATTCTAACGAGCGTATATTAAATTAATTAACTAAATTTGAGATCGAAAATTATCATAGTGAAATGAATGAAAAACATACTTCCAAATTACGACTAAATATCGATACTTGATGGTTAGATAACGAATTTGAATTATAATGTATTTGTACACGTTGACCATCGTATTTCATCTCGCAATTAAAAGGCCTCCCTTGTAGTTTCTTGAACACTGAGTCAAAATCACGTGTAATTTGACCTAACATCGGACGAAGGGGCACTCCTGCGAATTATGGATAATAAATACGTAAATACTAATAATAATTGTACGAGGAATAAAAGTAGCAATTGCTGACCAACTGTTAGATGACATAATTCCATTAGTTTATCAATTGGGTGTGATAGTAAAGTATTTACAATCCCATTATAATTTGGATACTGTGCAAAGCATTCTTTCAATAAACTTTCAGCAGCTTTAAGTTTCGCATTGATTTTTTCCTTCGAGTCATTTGTCAAGTCAACCATGTATTGACTATTTGCGATTCTATCGATCCCTTTCGGACTTGTCAAACAAAATGCACGCGCCAAAGAAATTAATACTATTAACGGGGATAAATTAGTAAGTAACTTAAACATTTAAAATATGCTCGGGAATCAAATACCTGATTTTCCAACAGCACCAACACGCAAATTTCCAATTAATGTTCTAGTAAGATATCTCACCTCTTCGCCTTTACACGGAACTAGCAATTTTTTAACTAAATCCGTTTTCTGATCAACCACACCATTACCTTTCAATTTCGATATATCCAGCAAAGTTTTATATACCATACGGATATAAAGTGGTCGTGGTTTGAACAATGTTCGCACTGAAACCTTTGCTGCATAAGCGACATCACCCCAATCGCCATATTTACCATATAAATCTCTTAGAGCTGTATGCGAACACCCTGAAACTGATGTGACTGCTTTCGATAAAACGTGTGACCCAATGCCAAGTTCCACTCCTTCATACGATGGTGCGATCTCATTTGATGAGAGCCAAACTGCAGGCAATACACTAGCAGGATCATGATAGATCAAAGTGCGCAACATATTTGTCATATAATCCAGTATTTTTATTCGACTTTTCGTTTTATCAACCAATGAAAAAGTAGCGCAGAGAAAGCTATATAAAGTAGGTGAACTCCATTCAATTTTTGATGGATCGAATTTCATGATGTCTTTTGACAAAATTGCTTCAAATTCAATATTTTCTCCAGATGCAGAGGAGGAATGTTTACAAGAATCAATGAAATCTACATTTGACGAAGATATTTTTTGCGTAAAAGCAGGCAATTCATCGAAATCTTTGCTTGGAGTTGTGTTTAATTTTGTTTCTTCGAACCGTTTGCATTCTCGAGTAATTTCTAAGGATGAGTTCTCTTCGGTCTCACCGTCCTCACCCTCTTCCGATAACTTTGTTTCATTCTGTCGCGCTAACTGATTATTAAAAAAGATTTCAAGTTTAGGTTGTTTTAAGCTCGAATCGGTAGTTTTCGCTTTCTTTTTTATAGGCGATCTTTTTTTCAAAGAACTGGAAAGTTTCCTTTTCATTATGTCTTAAAATTGCGAATAGTGAAGGGTACTTCTGGTTGTGTAATAGTATCAAATCTTGAATTAGAAATTTTTATTGACAAGATCAAGATTTAAAGATGTTACATTTCATGCATGAACTTTATCAAAAGATTGCAAAAATGTAACGAAACGATTCACATCAATGTAATCGTGTGGATTTTCATTGCATGCAGAAAATTAGATTTTTCTCCAATAAAAAAAATATTCGAAAATCAACATTTCTTTAGTTTTTGCTTTAGCACCCTTTAAAATGTCATTAAAACCGAAGGGCAACATATATGCTAACGGGAACCAGAATGACTATACAAAATCCGTATCAGAACCTGAGTTGAAAAAGAACGTTTTTGCTAATGTTGCCATATATCTTGTGGATAACCAAATTGGTGAATAATCGTATGGTTTTATTCTGAGCTCGCGTTTTAATCTCGCGTGTTGTCTTCAGTTGTACTTATATAAGAATTTTTGCGTAAATTTAATTAGAATTCCCGTTCGCCATCATAACTTTCATCACAACATGTTATGCATTAGAGGTGCCCGGTTTCGAGAAATTTGTTACTTTGCAATACCGAGATATAAAAACAGGATTATATGTGAAAGGAGTAGATGATATATACTTCATTTTCTTATGGGTGGCAATATTTACCTTGCTCAGGGCGTTCGTAATGGAATATATATTAAGACCGCTAGCAATAAGCTGCAAGATAAAGCGCATTAATCAAAGAACAAGGTTTGCAGAGCAAGGATGGTCGTTTCTATATTATTCTGTATTCTGGACACTTGGAATGGTAAATTACGATGCTTATGTTCATTTAATAAAAAAAGTCACGTTATAAATCATCTTAAATATTCTTTACTTACGCGTCTTATCATTTTTGCTATGTTAGTATTTAATGTACCATTCACCATATTGGTTCAATACACCCCAACTTTGGATAGATTATCCACACCGCAAAATGACATATCTCTTTAAATGGTATTATCTGGTGCAATTAGCTTTCTGGATTCAACAAGTTTTTGTAATTAATATTGAGAAAAGACGAAAAGATTTCGCGGAAATGATAGCGCATCATGCAATTACAATTTTATTGATGAGCTTTTCATATTCATTCAATTTGACCCGGATTGGGAATGCCGTACTATGTTGTATGGACTTCTCGGACATTTTACTGCCGGTATTTCTAAATTCATTAATTTTCGAATCTTAGGCTATCAAAAGCACTCAATTGATTATAACATTCTAATCTCATATTATTCGTGAACCAAATCATTCAATTAATTATCGATCGAAACGATCAGCTGGCAAAAATGTTAAGATATCTTAATTTCACCAAATTATGTGATTTTCTATTTGGCGTCTTCATGTTCTCATGGGTGATAACACGCCATTTTTTCTATGGTTATCTAATATATTCCGTATACGCGGAATCAGGGAATTACACAGAGTACAGATGGTCACCGGCGGAGGGAGCATATTTCCCGTATTATGTTATGTGTGGTTTCCTGGGACTATTGTTGTCTCTTCAAGCGATTATTATATTCTGGTTTGTGCTGATTTGTCAAGTAGCCTGGCGGGTGATTCGAGGCGACAATGCTCACGATAATCGAAGCGATTCCGAAGAGTTTGTGCTTTACTTTTTTTTTTTTGATTATCCCGTGACTCTTTGTTCTTATAAGTTATATTAATTCGATCATTATTATGTTTGCTTTAGTGACGAGGAAGTATTAAATATACATGGAAATGGAAAAGCAAATGGCAATGTTTTATCACACAAAAGCAAAAAAACAAATTAAAATCAAACTCAATCAACACATTCAAACAATCCGCAAACCATTCATCATTCCCGTGAACAATATCCAGCAACGAAGCATAACTCTTATATACAAGTGTGGTTTTGGAAGGTGCACACATAAAAAAAGTTATAATAAATAATCTAATAATAATAGTAATTATAGAATTCTAGAATATAATAGCGATAGTACTTTTTATAAGAATTTATTATTGTTATAGCATATAATTGACGTTATGTGTAACTATATTAATAAAATCATTTGACATATCATATTTTTTCTTTCGATGAGCCTTGAAGCTGCACGAAAAACGGTTTTTATTACAGTCGGTTCAACAGGCTTCGATGACTTAATTCACATAACCACTTCTGTTTCTTTTTTAGAATTAGTCTCTTCGTTGGGATATACCCGTGTCTTAGTACAATATGGTAAAAGTCATAGCATATTCAAGGAGTCAGCTGCGAAAGAAATAAAGATCCCGAATGGTCGGTATTTAGCACCGTTGAAAATAACAGTTGATGGATACGATTATAAAGATTCTTTACGAGACGATATGGAAAAGGCGGAGCTAATAATTAGTCATGCTGGTAATTGATAAATTTTTTGAATTTGTCACAAAACTTTGTGGGAATGAAATTCATGGCATTAATTTTCGGAACCAGGATCGGGATCCATTCTAGAATCATTACGACTCAATAAGAAATTGATTGTAGTAATCAATGATGCGCTAATGAATAATCATCAAAATGAATTGGCAGTTGAGCTGTCATCTCACAGATATCTATTGTATAGTTCTGTCAGGTGAGGGTGAACTTAATTTTTTTTTAGTTTAAAAAGGAAAGTTGAAAATTTTTTAAATTTTTACTTTTTCGTTTATTAAGTAATTTATTGGAAACCCTCAAGTCACGACACCATGAAGAGTTAATACCATTTCCGGCACATGATGAAAATTTATTTGTTAAGATTTTGGATGAAGAAATGGGAATTGATGATGATGATGATGATCACGATGGTTAAATAATAAAATAATAATGTATCGCTTGTGTTATAACAACATCTATATTTAATTTCATAATTATATACATTTCTTTCCTCTGATTGATAGAGACGATTATAATGTATATTTATTGTCAAAAAATCAAAACCAGGTTTAAAGACAAAATGTTTATCACTCAAAAAGATTATAAATATATTAAATATATTAAATATATAATTAGTTAAAATTCTTTTCCAATAAATACACCGAATTTATGATAAATCAAAATTTATCAAGCTTAGATACTTTGTTAAATTTTTAACATAAATAGAAATTAGTTATTAATTTCATTTAATCATAAACATGATGAAAATAATAACACTTACAATAAACGCCACGTC